TGCTGGTTTTTCAGTCAGTGACAAGAAAGGGTTATACATTAAACTTACATACCTGTTCGTCAATTTTATTCCTTTCGCTATCAAGTTCGATAGTCAATCTTTCTTTCGTCTTTATATCTTTCCGCACCTTATCCAAGTACGCGTTCTGGTCCATCAATGCCTTTTTATGAATCGCCAGATTCAAATTGGCATCACCGGTCATCTTCTTTAGTTCCACTAGTTGTTTTAGCTTGTGATCAATCGCGAGACTTAGCTCATAGTTCTCAATTTTGGTCTGTTCAAAATCCACTGGTCTCAAATTCTCGCTCAGTTCAGCTTTTATTTTAATCTGTCCTTTTAGTTTTGAATACTGTGAGTTCATTGTGCTTGTCCGCAGTCTCAATTTTGATATTTTACTGTCGCAAATTTTCACCCACTCGGCCATGTATCTCACCCAAATTTCAGCTGGGATTCTTTGGGCTATTTTGTCCCAACCTTCAATAATCACTTGCTGGTTAAATACCTCAGTTGCTTTCTCAACGTCCACCATCCTTATACTAATCTCTTCCAACTGCGCTTTCAGCAATGCATGTTGCCTTGCAGCTCTCAGCCTACTCTTTTCTAAATTTTGTATTAAAATCTCCATTTCATTTGAAACTAGTTCAGATCGCTCCATGACATTCACTCTGGGCCCTGAACCAAAGATGATGGTCCCAGTGACTTTTCCTGATGACTCGACGCGTTTGAATATTGTTGAAGCTTTTGACGGACTCATGAAGAGTCTTGAAGGGCTGGTTATTGAGCCCATGAGTACCCTGGAACCTGAAATAACATAAATTTTATAGTTTGTATCTCTTTTGGTTTACATAGCAGTGGTAAAGAAATGATAGATGGGAGAAAATTTTAGTTGCAATTTGACAGTTTTAGGTTGTTATGCTCTTAAAATTTGGACATTGTGCAATTCTGATGAAATCATGGCACTCGTATGATGAAACGGGATGAAAAAGTCGAGCGTCTGGTGGAAAGCGACACGCCTCCCCGTAACAGTTGCTCCACACAGAGCTTTAAATCGCAAATATCTGAAACTCCAATGCGCCTGTCATTCTAAGACATAAAGTTGACAAGTCCCATATGCCTGTAGTTCCACCAGCTTACCCTTCAAAACCGGAACGCAGTAATAACGTACGAACGAACACATTCACAAGAAGCTCTACTGCTACTAATATCTAATAATTTATAGGCTCCCCTCACTGGGCTAACGAAATTGGGACTCTATTCTTCTTGATCATTATACTCCGCAAGTACCGGAGTATCATGAGACTCCGTAATTTTGTGCTCCCTTCATCATCAACGTCCCACTGCTGGGCTCAGGTCTCCTTTAAGGAGGCTTGGGGATTTCATACGTTTTCCGAGGTTTCTGAACCTTTTTCGACGTGCAGTGTCATCACGATGTTCCTTTACCGAAAAGTTCATGGCAAATTTCAAATGAAATTTTGGAGAAACTCAGAAGTGTGAGCCCGGGTTTCGAATCTACTGAAAGATAGGCCAAACCATTATGGTGTACCTTTGAGGCGTGTTGCACAGTTTAGGTACCTTGGTCATATTATGACGGAGGACCTAAAGAATAACAAGGACATTGAGTCAGTTCGAGGCAATATGTTGGCCCATAGATTCATGCAGTATACGACTGGAATGAAACTTACGCTCTTCAAAGCTTACTACCAGAGTTTCTACACGTGTGCTCTATGGTCCAACTTTACGCCGAGATCATACGGTGACTTAAGAGTCCAATACAATAACACCTTTGGGGCCTTGGTGAGGCTTCCCCGCTTCTGCAGTGCATCTGGCATGTTTGCTGGTGCAGCTGTGGACGATTTTTATGCCATTATGCGCAAAATGTCCACATCAGTAGTGCGAAGAGTTAGGGGGAGCAACAACGAGATCCTAAAGATGATAGTGGATAAGATAGAAACAGCGGTTTTTCGAAGGTTCACCGAGTTACACGTTCTACGTGTGCGTAATGAAGGAAAGCTAGGTAATGTGTAAGTAAGTAATAGGTATAATAAGAAATTTAATAATTGTTTAATCTACTAACACAATACCAATATAGTTATGAGGTGTGTCATGTTACTAACATACTAATTTGTATGGACTTCTAGTTGTCTGAAATAAATAATTTTTATTTTTATTTTTATTAGGCTACCACGGTTTTAGTGTTTTAGAGTACAAATGTTACAGTGTCACTTTGTCACCAATATCATCACGATTATCAAAAGCTTGTTTAAAGTACTATGTATCACAAAAGTATTTTACAACATATCAATATTAACCTACCCGTTCCTGACTTAAAACTGCCAACGTTCAAAGACGAGGTGCTCTGCAGCTTGATGGCATATTCCAAAGCCTGTGCAACACCGTGCATTAATCCAGGATCGACCCGTAGGATTGTCTTTTCGATCACCTCATTCTCTAGGGACAGGATTTTAATTTGACGTTTTATGTCATTTACCTGAAACAATAGTAACGTAATGTTGCAGACTTTTAAATACAATACAAACAAAATACAGGTAACCCACTAGCACTGGGGTGACAGGACGAATTGAAAACTAATTATTGACAGAGGGTGTTATGTACAGGGTCAAGAGCACGTCAAGCTTGACACGTAAGACTTAAATCTAGCTCTATGCTGTTTACGATAAGAACGGTTCAAAGTACAAAGTGTCAAGCTTGATGTGCTCTTGACTAAAGGAGATGCATTAGAAATCGCGTTTGGAAGAACACGTTAACTGTAGGACCGTAGAACGGAATATTCGAAAAGAAAGCGTATATAACCAGGGAAGACGAACTGGAGGAGTTCTTTAGGAAATGGGAACGATATGCTCATTACTGGGAAGAATGGAGGAGGGTTTTTGACAGCCGACATAATCTTGTTCGAACATTGTCAAAAGTTAATTTTGACATCGAGGTAAAAACTGCTCTTGGGAAAAGGTCAAATAACTCTGTAACTTGTGAAGTTTTCTACCGGCTTTGGGTCGACTAGACCTTTTCTTAAAGGAGACTCCAAAAATAGGATGTATAAGGGTTCAGGGCTTTTAGTATCGCTGCATTTTCCGACAAAAGTTGAGACTCGGTGCGGTCCCAGATATGCTGGGTAAAAGAGCTTTTCGAGACAGTTTCCTAAGTAAGTTTCCATATTTATAGGCAATTAGGCAGCCAAAATATAATACTGCCTCCGCGGCCGAACGGTTACCACGCTGGAATGCCACGAGGGCTCGGGTTCGATTCCCGGGACAAAAGAAATATTTGTATGACCTACATTCATTTCTCTCGTGTGTTTGGGTGTAATTTGTGTTTGATAGACAAACACAAATTACATGCAAACTCATGTCACAAACACCTAAGAAACAAAGGGCGTTCCAGACAGAGAGGACCCGACTTTATTATAATCGTTCTTCAATCTCCACAGATTACACTAAGCTCCATTCAACATTGATGCCTTGTCAATGTAACCTTAAAAAACGACTGTTGGTTTAGTAGATTTTTTAATACAACATCTCGAACTCGTGTCTCGAAAATGTTCAAAAATTGGTTAAGACTCTTGAAATTTTCAGCACCTAGATTTCTGGCATGAAAGCCCTGATAGAGTAGATGATAACGACCAACGTACCATTTTAAGCAGTTCATCATCGGACAATTCATCCATATCCGAGCTGACGAACTGGCTTATGGACCTTGAGTGTTGACTCAAGCTGGCCCGGTAGTGGCTATGCGTATGGGACATCCTGATTATAGCTGTGGAGGAGAAGAATGGTTAGTTTGGAATAAGAATTCGACACAATTAGTAGTAGTAGAGCTCCTTGTGAAAGAGTTCGTCAGGGAAGTGCTGCTACCTTATCTATTTCTGCCACTGTGTTCCGGTTTTGAAGGCTAAGCTTGTTGGTGAAATTACAGGCACATGGGACTTGTCAACTTATGTGTCAGGGTGACGGGCACAGTGGTAGTGCGCCTCAGATCTTTGTGATTGAAAGAACTGAGTGGCACTGCAATTGTTATGGACAGGCGTGTAGCTTACTTACTTATTAAAAAAAAACACAAATAAGGTAGGAGAATATAAATGTTCTCGACAGATTTGAGCTTGTTTGGACAAATCGTGGATGAAGGACAAAGTTGAATTGTATTTCTAAATGGCTTTTTAGATTAGCGGCCTATCACAACAGCAAGGAGAGTGTGCGATGGGATTGCACGATGTAATTCCGTCGTCACCTTCCCATCATTAGGGGACTAGACGTAGGCTGTGCCTCCCCTAGCTGTGAATGTTACAAGGATTTGTGTTAAGCGTTACGCTTCCACATTTATATGGTGAACGGCTATGGAATGAAATTCCCTGCCTGCAGACGTTTTCCCTGAACGCTATAACTTGGGCCTTGTCAAGGCGAGAGTGTACAAGCATTTTTAGGTGTGCATGCTCCATCATCGACCTCATCGTCCATCAGGTGAGTTGGAGGTCAAATGCACACTTATTCTATATAGTTCGTCAGGTTAAAAGAGATTGGTTAATAAAACGGAGACGTGTCTGTTGCGGAAAGTTTCCGAATAATATATCATCCCAATGTTGTCGTGTGGTTATTTAAACACATGAAAAGTTTCTCAATAAAATTTAGCAACTTCGGAAAAAATCTCAATAATAAGTAAAAAAGGAACTATATTTTTGGAAAACAGCCATGTATACTTCAAGGACTACTTGACGGCTTATTCGATGTGTCATATTTATCGGGGATGTGGTCAAACGAAAATTAAACACAGCCTCATCCACCATTTTGGTTTTACAATCTGTCACTCGATCCCGCAGTAAGCCCGTGTGGAAGGC